TCTGGCAGGAAAACAAAAAATACGCTCACAAGCTACACCATTTCATTAAAAAAATAATGTTTTCTAGCTTCATTCTTAAGCTGGTTTAAGTGATACATACGCACAAATATATACATACACATTGACATATTAATAACAAAACAACGCAAACAAGGACATTGGTTGGCTATGGCTTTTTTTTTCTTTTAGGAGAGTCGTTTGAGACACAATGAAAATGAAACACAGGAGCTTATTTTATTGAATTAGTCTTGGATTTAATTAAAATTATTAAAGTCATCGGGAGATTTTATCACAAATAAACAATTGCAACAAAAGAAAGAAAGAAAGAAAGAAAGAAAGAAAGAAAGAAAGAAGCAAGTATTCTACGTGAAAATTACCCAACTACCTTATTCTTTTATTTCTTTGTTGGAAGCAAAAAGAAAAAAAGGAATTAACCTCCTTGCCTAGGATGGAGATACACTCTTAATCTCATACAGTGCGTCAGGAGTGAAATAAAAAATATATTTGTGTGTATGCGTTTCTGTATATATATGTGTGCATGTGTGCGTGTGTGTGTGTGTGGAAATATATCATGAAAAGTCAAGTGTAGAATTTATTTCAATCCAAACACCCACCCACCCTCGTCACTCGAGGATCCAATAGTTATGGAGAGATAACACCTTTCAATTCATAAACTGCTACCCTTTTTTTCTTTTTCTTTTTTTCTTCTTCTTTTTCATCCATAATTAAAGACAATAATAATAATAATTAATAATAAGTAAGTTGAGTGCGTGACCAAGGAGAGTGATGCAAATGACCGTCAAGAAGTAAGTGTTTCTGTGACTTACGTTCCCTTCCCTATGATTGTTTGCATGCGCTGGGTTCAGATAAGACAAAAACACGTGCTTTTGTGTGCGTGTCTGTGAGTGTGTGCGTGCGTGTATGTGTATGTGTGTGTGTGTGCGTGCGTGTGTGTGTGTGTCACGGGAAGTCAGGAAGGTCTGGTACAGCAAAAGCTTAGACGTAAGTATTCGTCGCGATTGTGCTATACTTCATAACTATGCTTTCTGTGACAATATTTAGAAGACACAATATCGAATATATGATGAACATGGCAGTGAGTGTGTGACATCAGTTATTGCACGTGTGTGTGTGTGAGTGAGAGAGATAGTGCGTGTGTGTGTGTGAGAGAGAGAGAGAGTGTGTGCGTGTGTGTGTGTATGGGCATATGGGTGTGCATGTATTTAGAAACAAGAGATATATATACTGTTATGACGGAGTTTGCTAACGAGATCTGTGCAAATTAAAATGGCAACAAAATAGTAGGTGTTTGTAAGAGAAAAGAAAGAAAATCAGGAGAGAGAGAGAGAGAAAAAAAAGTAGAGAGAGAGAGATAAAAAAAGAATAGTGCATGCGTTTGTCTTGACATAGTCGTTAGTGTCAAGTAGGGTGGGTCATAAAAAAAAACACCTAAAGGAAGATTGATGCCTGTGTACCTACATTTTTTAATTAGTGGCGCGCGTGTGTCACGAACCCAAATTCGAATATAGCAGCATAAGAAGAACGAAAGATACAAGCAAAGTTTAAGCAAAGATGAGAATGAGTTAGGTCATTCTTTTTCTTATTGTCTCTCTTTCCTATTTCAGAGTATAGATTGTACTTTAACTGCGAAAGTCAATCGGACTATTTTCTTCCTTATTTCTTATTTTCACCTCCAAATCATTAACACTTAAACTCATCTATCTATCTATCTATCTATCTATCTATCTATCTTAGTTTGATCATATCTATCTACCAATCTCTCTCTCTCTCTCTCTCTCTCTCTCTCTCTCTCTCTAAGTCTGTTCATTATCTATCTATCTATCTATCTATGTAAGGCTGTTCATTATCTGTCTATCTATCTCGGTTTGTTCCTATTTCCTTATCTATCTGTCTCGGTTTGTTCATCTCTCTCTCTCTATCTATCTATCTATCTATCTATCTATCTATCTGTTTATATATGTCTGTCTATCTATCTCAGGCTATTCATATATATTTCAATTTATCATATCTATATCAGTCTGTTTATATTTCTCCGCCTGTTCATATCTATTTCTCTCTCTCTCTCTCTCTAAGTCTGTTCATCTCTCTTTCTTTCTTTATTTATCTATCTATCTATCTATCTATCTATTTATCTAGTTAATAATATCTGTCTGTTCATATATTTCACTATCTCAACTTGTTCATATCTAGCTGTCAATGTCAGTCTATTCTCATTACCTACCTCAACTTGTTCATTTATATTCTTACCCTTCTTTCTTAATTTCTATCGTTCTCGTTCTTTTTCTTCGTAATTGTATCTGTCAATAGTTCGTTTTATCCTCTCCTCTTTCTTCGATTTTATCTTTATATATTTAATTTATCTCTCTCATTGTCTTATTATTTCTTAATTTGTTCTTTATTCACCCCTGTCCATCTGTTAAATACTTATCTATCTATTTATTTATCATTAAATATCCTTTCATTTACACTTTGCTCCTTCTCTCCCACCCGACAGGTATCTATCTCTTGTGTCGTAACCCGCAAACCACAGAATCGGCAACAGTCTTAATCTCGCTTTCTATTTTTCTAAAATCGCACACACGCATCTCTGGCAGTACATGCAAAATGTTCCTTATTTCGAACTAAATATACATTTTACTCTAAGACTCATTCCTGCTTTCTCTCTATCAGGAGAATTTGGTTAATTGCTAAATATTCCTGTGTAACACAACACACTATTTCAATTGAACACTTGTTGTCATATAGATTCTTAGGCAAGCTATACACTCAACTCAACTCATTGGAGCTAGAAAACGAAATCCTACAACCTTACTGGAACACGACTTTCCCTCCATTAAAAACAAAAGTAAAAAAAAAATCCTTTTCTTTTTGGTCTGCGTATAAGTTTTATTATCTATGTCTTGTAGAAAGTTATATAATTTCTCCTAAGACTGTTTCTCTTCTCCCTGCTGAAATTCCTCAGTTGCTTTCTTAGTTTTTAGTTTCGTTGAAGCTGTTCGTCGTTTTTATACCATCTTCCTTACTCCCTCTTCCAGACCACGTGTCTCTCTCTAGTTCATTCTTACCTTCTTTAACACACACGCACACACACGTTCGAACGTTATCTTTTTTCTTCGTCCGACTTACTCTTAGAGACTAGTGTGAAATCTTACTCTCTACATTGCTATCATCCTCTGTACATATCTACACCTACAACCTCTCTTCTTCGCATTTTTATTTATAACAAGTCAAACCACACCGTGTATACACCTTTATACACTTAAGTATATACAACAATATTATGTCTGTGTACATCTATCATTGGATATACACGTCTTTTTCTGCTTACACTAGACAACGCAACGCGCTTCCTTTCCTCTAGCTTCATCTCTTCGCCTCTTTTTCTTAACACACATCACAGTGATTGATGAACTGGTCTCACAACCCATTGATAGCAAGTTCGATCCTTTTTAAATGCGCCATAAGAAGTGACCTTGTGCCAGACTAAGCATAGGTCAAGTAAATATACCTATTCTCCTGCAGATGCTCCTCGCTTAAACGAATCAGCGTGCTGTCCTTCTCTTTATAGCATCACCACCTTCTTTTCTGTCACTCACTCAATAATACTTACCACTTCTCTTTCACTCTCTACTAATATTACTCTCTAGTTGAAGCCACTTCTTCCTCCTACTCTCTGCTCCTCTCTATGAACGAAAGCAAGTCGCCACTCCCTTAGCAAGATTACGTTTTTCTCCGCCGCCAGCGTTGTGTCGTGCACTGTGGCAACCAGCAGCCGCCAGAGCCGCTCGCCTTCTATCTTTCCTTCTCTCTTTTTTCTCTTTCTTCCTCCCTTCCTCTCTTTATTTTCTTTATCCTCTTTTTCTCTCCGAGCGACTTTTACCCTTCTCACTGTATTACTATTATTATTATTATCATCATCATCATCATATTTATTTTTATTATTACTACCACCACCATCATTATTATTATTATTATTATTTTCTTCTTCTTCTTTCTTATTCCTTCTTTGCTCTCCTGTTCGAGCCACGCACACATACTCAGGAGTTCGTTCTTTCCTTTTTACACCACGGACATTGGATTCCTTTTTTCCTTACGAATTGTTCCTTTACTGGATTTTGGATACACACGGGATTTTTAAAAGAAAAGAGAAAAAATCAGAGAAAGTGAAGAATTTTGGGGTGTTGTTTATTCTTTGTTATTTTTTTCGTTGTGTGTGTGCTTGCGTGTGAGTGCTTTAAACCACTGTTAATAATGTTCCGTTGGAGGAGGAAATTATCAGCTTTTATACTTATTATTATTATTTATATTCGGTGAAACATACCAAGAAGAAAAAAGTCAAAAAAAAAAAAAAAAAAAAAAAACGAGGGTAAAAGAACGGCGTGTGTGCAAATTATTGCATGCTTGCCTGCCCGACAGGAAAGGAGAATATGAAGAAAAGACCGGCCGTTTTTTCTACAACGTTTTTTGGTAATAATACCAAAACGTAAAGCACCGTTACTATTATTATTATTCATTCTTTTACAAAAGAAAGGAAAAGAAAAAACGCCAATTTTTTTTTTTTTTTTTTTTTTTTTGTTGGCTGGCATCTTCAAAACAAACGCATAATAAGGATACTTTACTTACAGGAGTATAAAAACGACAAGAATATTCATTTTTCTGCCTTTTTTTCTTTTTGTCTTTTTTTTTTTTTTTTCTTTTGCCCATGGCGACGAATCACCTAAAATAAGGAATAGTCCACATTGTCCGAATTTTACTTCTTAGAAAGAAGTGTGTTTCCCCCCCCCCACTCCGCTTTGATTTATTTTATGGAGCTAAATTGATAGTACTTATTAAGTACTTACTGATGTGTTTTTAAAAAGAAGTTTACTCGTGGTTGTCGCGGGTTACAAATAAACAAAAGAAAAAAAAAAACAGGGCAAAAAAGAAAAATAAAAGGCCAGGCAGGCCCTGGAGGTTAGGAAATGCAGCTCCAATATGTCGTCTGCTTCCTGTGCTGGGCGGCACTGGCAACTTGGCAAGGTAAGTAACTTTATTTCAATTATTATTATTAAATTTAAAATAAGACTTTATATACCCATAGTTACATTACTTTTTTCTTTTTTTTATTAAAAAAAAAAAAAGTTGAGTAAGCTTTTTTTTTTTTCTTTTTTTTTTTAATATTGGCATCACTAAAAATTTCTCTTTTCCTCACATTTTCTTAATTTCATCATTTAATGATAATTTGATAGTTTCTCTTTTTTGACTAAAATACAAAAATTTATATATCATACTTAACTAGTGTGCATATTTTATGTAGTTAGTAAATATGGCAATTTAACAAAACAAAAGCAAAGAAAGTTTGTTTAAAAAAAGAAAAAAACAAATCATGAAACAATTACTCAGTAATTTTTTTTTTTTTTTTTTGAATTATGAAAGAATTTTTCCTACAAACGATTGTTAAAAATCAGTTTTTAGTAGAACCCTTTGCTACAATTCTTCCCCTCCTCCAAGAATTTTTTCTTACTTATTCAATTTATATGGAATTTCTCTTGATTCTCATTCTTGTTGTTGCTGTCAAAGGCTTTTTTAGGTTATGTACGATAAAAGTAAAACTTTAAAATTAAAAATAATCAAAAAATAATGTTCTTTTATATTTAAGCAACGTTTTATTAAAGAAAGCAAAATTGTTTTATTGCAACAAGTTTTAAAGAAAATTAAGTTTTGCCTTTGTTCTCTACTCAGAATCTCTATTAAAAAATCTACCTACAGATTTCAAGAGCAAAAAAAATTATTACTTTCAAAATTCTGCCTTTTTTTCCTGCCTACACAAAATTATATTTTTTTAAACTATTTAAAAAGTTTAACCTGTTTACTTTTTTCTATTCTTTAATCATCAGTGACTAAGTCAAAGGTTTCTGATCAATATACTCAACTCTAAACTGGTGTATCGTATATTAAATAAACGTTTTTTTTATATTCTTTTCATAAAGCCTTAACTACAAAAATACGATTTTTTTTCTTCAAGATATTTTGTTTCTGCGATTTCATTTTCTAGTTTTAAAATGAATCTTTCGTCTTAAAAGTTTCCATCTCCACGAAATTCCCACGTTGTCACTATTTCGCTATTTTTTTTAATACTCCGGGATACCTTTTTCTTGCTTTTTTCACCCAATTTAATGAAATGTCTAAAAGCATTTCTACCAGAAATGATATTTCTTAGATAGTAATTTAATATCTTAGATTATGCAAAACTTATTTTTAAATAGCATAACCAATTACTTTTAATTTAAAGAGATTGTTTTTAACTGATTGACTTTTTAAGATGATTCCATAAAGTTAAAAAAAAAAAACGTTGAGAAAATTCAAAGAGAAACGCTTTTTATTTTGGATTTCAGCTCTGATGTTTATATTTGTTTTCTTGTTGTAACGTATCTAGAAATGACTTCTTGTCTCAATTTTTAATGTTTCCACTTTTTATTTTGCCTTTAAAACAGCCTCAAATCGTTTGAAAAAAATGTTTTCAGTTAATTTGGGTTTTTTTTTTTTTTTTTTTTTTTTTTTTGCAATGTTTTTCTTATTTTTTTCAATCTTTGTAGATATTAATTAACAATAACATTCTTCTTCATAAGTTTATTCCGCTAAGATTTAAGTTTTTTTGTTTTTTCTTTTAAAAGAAGAAAAAAAATAGGGTCCCCACCAAAGCACATGGTTAACTTTGGCTAGAGATCGTACGTAGCAGCACGTAATGTCTTCGTCGTTCCAGGCCATGTGAAAAAAAATCTTACCAATTCTATCTTAAATTCTTCTCCCCACACACAACGAATATAACATTAATTTTGAAAAATTGTAATACACACTAAATTATAAATAAATAAAAAAGGTAGTGTGTGCTACTCTCAAATTCAATTGTCTTTGTTTATTGTAGGCTTCGAAGTAAAAGATTTTTTTTATCTTACGGTGGGTGTGTAACTGGATTTTATACAAAATCTGTCTGTATCTTACACACGTACACAAATCATTTTTCATTCCAAAGGTTCTACTTGATTTACAACACCAAAGCTTTCTTTGTGTCTCATTCAAAAAAAAGTCTATCTGTTGCTCAAACGTAGAACGTCGAAATAAATAACAAAATAAAAAAAAAAAGTTCCATACTGGCTTAAAAATTGTCTCAATGTCTTCGAATTCTTCCTTGCCTGTTGCCTCCTCTAACGACTTTTCAAGCTTTGTTTTCTTTAACGAAACACACACAAACGAATAAAACTAGAGTGCCAAACGGTTTCATTTAAAAAAAGATATACTTGACTTATTTTATTAAGATTTTATTTATTTTCATTACTGGCTCTTTCTTTCTTTACCCACTTCCAACCACAAAAAAGGCAACAAATTCTTGGAGTGTAAAATGTTGCTACTTTCGCGAAGAAAGCGAGGAAGAATGTTGTCGTCGCCGTCGTGGTAATGGGCCAGCAGCAGCAGTAGAGATGGAAACAAAGAAATGGTGAAGGCTGGCACCATTTAGTTCTTTTACCCGGCCTATCTTACCCAAAGCTTGTCTCTACATCCCTTTCTAAGTATGACTTAATCTATCCCCCATCACTAACAACTACTCCTCCCAACAGACTTGAGTCTTGACTATCTTTTCTTTTTTACTTTACTAAGAGAATCACCTCTGGGCAAGATTCACTGGCACTGCAAATGAAATTGGGCACCCACCATCTGTACTGTAGTAAAGAAATCTATATAGCCGTAGCAGTAGTGATAATAGTTATTTTATTATTATTTTGCTTTTTAAGCAAAGAAGCAACTTCTCTTACCATTTGCCTGATGTACTATAAAGCTTTATTTGTACAAAAATATATGAAAAAAAAAATGTAAGCTTCAGACAATTGCTTAAGCTCTGAAAAATGAGAGGCTCCCTTTTTTTTTTCTTTTTTTATAAGCGGGTAATATTCGATTTCATTGCCACTAATATTAATAACTAACACTCAGTAAAAGAAATGTAGTGCTGACCTTCTCATCTCGGCCGTAAGGAAAGTTACAGCAGAACCATAAAAAAAAAAAAAAAAGTATGTACGTATATTGTACCACATGGTACCACAGGCAACTAATCTCTCTCTCACACACACTGTTCAATGCACACCCACTTTATAACTGCTATTATGACTACCACTGTTATACTTTCTTGTAACCTTAAGTTACCATCAAAGGATATTCTTTTTACACCCTTAAAGTTAAAACCCACATTTAACTCATTTCACCTGACATGGACTGTTTAAATATTTTTAATAAATGATTCAAGGTAATGTTCTAAAGTACAAGGCCTCTTCTTCAGTGATTCTTCTTGAAAATTTTATTGCACTTTACTTTATTTACCAAAGTGAATGTCATCTTTTAGTTTTGTGTTATTATTTTTTATCATCATTTATTGTTGGCAAGCCACACTTTTTAACCCCTTGCAGGTTCTTGCTAAAACTAACAAGTGGCACTTTTTTATGTCTGTCTTTGTAATTTCTTTATTGAAATACTTTCATTCTTTTTTTAAATTTGTTATAAATTAAATTTGCTTTTTATTTTTCTGAATTGAAAATTGGTTTATTTCCATATTTTTAACTAAAAAAATTATAATTTTGATATATAATCTATCTTAGCTCTAATTGATTCCATAGTTTGACTGGTACGTACTTAGGCTATTAATTTTTTTTATTTTTTTTTTTTTTTTTTTTCATTGGTTCTCTTCATGCTCTGCACTTTTGAATTGGAAGATGTCTTAGAAATTATTCTCAAAGTAAAAACAAGGAAAATGATTTATTCTGTTATTTCAAGTTTTGACCTATTTTTACTAAAACTATGATGAAATTGAAATCTGGTCTTATTACTTCATGGTATCAATTTTCTCGTTGAAATTTCTTTTCAATCAACTTATCAATGCCTTATATAAGCATCCTTTCTTTGACCATATTTAGAAACTGCATGTTTAGATTTGTGATTTTTCTCCCCTTACAACCCAGCCTTGCTGATAAGTGACTCTTGTTTGAAATTTCAACATCAGTTTCCAAACAGTCCACTTGACTGGCACTGTTTTGGTGTTGGCAGGCAAACCTTCTGCTCCCCACATCTGCTTTCCCCACTGACAACCATCATCCAGTCTTTATCTTATTGTGCTTACCTTGTATGTGTGTACACTTTCAGATTGATTGTATGTGTGCACCACACATTGGGGAAGAAGGAGAGGAATAATTACCCCCATCCTCTCTGGAGTGTATTGTAATTATGCTGCTGATGCTTTCAAAGTGCTTAGCTGTAGTATAGTAACCAGTTCTCTCTCTCTCACTCACCTGTGTGCACCATTTTCAGTTAACCATAAGCTAAGCTTCAGTTTTTTTTTTTTTTTTTTTTTTTTATCGGAACTTGTTCTCTTACACATTAAAGATTCTCTCTCACAAATTACCAACATCTGTAAAGGTTAAATAAGCATTACTTTTTTAATACTTTGAAAGATAATTTATTGGCTCAAATGATTGTGATATTATAAATTCTTGAATATTCATTTAATTTTTTAAATGCTGTGCTTTTCTGTGAAGGTTTTTTTTTTTTTTGGTGGGGTGCTACATAATTTGAACATCAACTTAAGATGAGTGGCATAGAAGATGAAATTAGTGATTAATTGGAATAAATACAGTAATACCTAACAAATTTTTCTACTTTTCAATTTGAACAAAAACTCTCAGCTCATCTGTTCACAAAAAAATTCCTTCTAAAAATAAGGATATGTTTTTTTTTATTTCTTCAAAAACAATTTATTAATGAGCTGAGATTTCTTTGTATTGCTGTATCATTATTTGAGTGATGGGCCAACATAACACATGATGGTCAGACTATAATGATCAAATATTGCATTTGTTGCTTTTCACTTGTAACTTGATTAATAATATTTATGTAAGTCACTCTGTGTGTGTAATATATATATAGCAACAGATGTCTTTTGTAGTTTACTTGTAAAATCTGATCTTTTGTACTTATGAGACTACTGATTCTTTTTTTAC